ACCTATGCAGCTGTGAATTCCTATCCACCTCCAAGGGTGCTTCTTGGAGTCGCCGAATGTGCAATGGTCATCAGCAATCACTTGAAGATAAGACCGTTGCCTGTTCATAACTGGTGTTCTTCAAGACGGGCTACTCATCTCCATTCCAGGACCTGCCCTCCTTCTCCATGTTGCAATTTCTGCTAAGAAGGAACTGAGGGTGGGCAGCACCCCTTATACCACAACATGGAGGCACCGTTCTGGGGACACCAGAGCTGCTCCCTCAAGGCAAAAAGTCTCTGCTGAGGGAAAAACTTCCAGCAGCGGCGCAGGAGGAGAGCACATGTACCTAATGTGGATTGGACATGAGCAACTGTTCTCTACTGCACCCAAACCGTAACAAAACATTTAGTAACATTTGATCAAGCTTCTAACAGACTCAATCCCGTGGTGCCTAGACCCATATTAGTCTGTTCCGGAATGGTCAGGTAAGTGTTAGCAGTGAACACCCACCCACACATTCTGTGTTCTTAATCCCTTGGGGTTTGGAAGTTGGGAGGCTAGAGCCGGTGATGTCATTGCAACAAAACTCTATCTCCTATTTAACTTCAAGGAAACCGTGGTGATGGAGTGGCTAGGAACAGAGCGATGGGCATCAGCCATTTTACTGTATATTGGCAAGACAGGCTGCCTCTGAATTTGCTGCTGGATGATTTGGGGCGAGGAGATCAAAGTCTCCAGGGACCTCTGTAACAATTCCAAGCGGGCTGTGGGTTGGTGGGTGTCTATGAAGCTGTATACAGGGGCAACCCTGCCTCCTTCAGAGAGCCCAGTCAGTGCTGCTCCGTGCGCCACTCTTGAGTAGGCTCCCGCGGAAGCTAGTGCCAGCCCTACGCATCCACAACCAGAGAAAGTACCCGAGGTGGAACACTGCACCGGTTCTCAGTCCTCGGCCCTGGTGCTACCACGCCAGTCTCCCACTCTGCCTGCCATTGCTGCTGCGCCCATGGGGTTTGACTGGAGAGCTGTCATTCTACACACACAGCTAGAGCAGAAGGAATGCTGGTAGGGACAGGGGAGCCAGGCCTGGGCGTAGGGTGTTTGAACTACAAGCGTTGGGAACAGTAGTTGAAAGTAGGCAGGTACGAACAGTTGGTCAGCAAGTAGCAGTTTAAAGTGGGACCAGCTGGTCTGCATGACTTGGGAGTGATGGCGTCAGCTGGGTCACAGAAGAATAAAGGCTTGTCTACACTTGAAAGGCTAGAGCTCTGCTCAGGGTGAAAGTAACTTACTTTTCTTACAGTTATTGTCCTATCGTAACCTTTCCCGGGGTGGCTTGGGGCAGGGGCAAAGCTGGGAGGAGACTTGTGGGCGGGGGCTGGGTGTATGTTAGGGAGGTGCAGGAGACAAGGCAGGGGGTTGAGGTGTGTGGGAGGGAGGTGTAGGAGTCAGGTGTGATGTACCAGTGGTCGGAAGTCAAATCAGGGCCAATTGCTTAGAATCAAGGCTACTTACAGCCAACCCCAGGGGTCCTTCTCTCTAAGGTACCCAACCAACCACAAAGTACACTTCAGCTGCTGCTCTGACCAGCGTTTAGTCACGCAAACAATCACCTTAGACACTCCGTTGTTACCCGTACCACAGCCAGCCCCGCACCTTACACAGATGAGACGTTATAAAAACCAATCTCACCAACTCGGAACAAAAGACAGGACGGTGTAGCACTTGAAAGACTAACAAGATGGTTTATTAGGTGATGAGCTTTCACCTAATAAACCATCTTGTTAGTCTTTCAAGTGCTACATCGTCCTGTCTTTTGTTTCACTCCACCAGACTAACAGGGCTGCATCTCTATCACTGCAACTCGGAACAGGTTCTCACAGTCTCAGAGGACCAGCCACAGTCCCAGGTCAATTTATACCTCAGATCTTACCCAAAAGAGCCCGCTGTGCCAATCCTATAGAGTCTAAAGGTTTATTAACAAAATGAAAGAAAAGGCTGAGAGTACAATTGTTAAAGAAATCACATCACATTACATACATACATCTCCCAGTTCTTGATACAGCCTCTTAGCAGAGATATAATAGATTGGTATCTTAAAAGTCTCTGGAGTACCTCCTATGTTACGATGGGTCAAACATTCCTTCCTGGCCCTCTGTTCATAACAAGGATGCTTCTGAAGTCAAGAGCAGGAGTGAAGACAAATGGAGAAATATTTTATAATCTTGCCCGGGTGGAGGGGATTCCATTGTTCTTGCTGTGTGAAGGTACCTTCCAAAATGGAGTTTGTCCCATGAGCAAGACACCTGACCGTGTCCTTTTCAGGCAAACAGTCATGGTGTACCTGGTGGTCTGCAAGTTTGCAGCAGACTTCATTAGGCAACATTTAAGGACCAGTGTCCATACAGCATGGCTATTCACTGAGTAGCCACCCCTCACAATAGATGGGCGACACCTGCCACTGTCTCCCAGCCACGCACATTGAATCTACAAGTACAGAGCCAATACTGACTATCACATATAAAAATCATACAGGTTTATGAGTAACATACACAGAACCAGCAAAGTCTGAGTTTTCAGTAGATACCTCCCGTGGCCCACTTTGCACAGATGTGGGTGCAACAATGATCTGCATATTCCAACTAAAATCCAATAATGCCACATCAGGGCTGGGCAGGGAAGGCTGTATGTGTGTGGGGAAGTTCAGGGCAGGGAACACTGGCTGTGGGGAGACTCAGGGCAGGGAAGGCTGTGGGAGGGGAGGAGCAGGGCAGGCTGTGTGTGTGTCTTTGGGGAGGGGGGAGGATCAGGGCAGGGAAGGCTGTGTAAGAGGGGAGGATCAGGACAGGGAAGGCTGTATGTGTGTGTGGGGGGGATCAGGGCAGGAGGCTGGGGGTGTGTGAGGGAGGTGCAGGAGTCAGGGCTGGAGGGTAGGAATGTATGTGGGGAAGGGATGTTAATGTGTATCTGTGAGCACAATTAACCAATAAGCCTAATTGGTTAACCCTCAGTTACATGCACCACCCCCACCGTTGCCTCTGTATCAGAGGCAGCGGAGCAGGGGCAGTCGGGAGTGGGGGTACTTGGGGAGCTGACTCCTGTGGAACTGCCTGGCCCCCCCACACTGCTGCCTCCGAGAGATGCGGTGGGGGAGAGCCCATGCTCGCGGGGAGCCATCTTAAAAGCTGGCTCCCTGCATGCACCGGCAGCCGTGGAACCACCCCTGCGTATAAACTGCAACTGTTACATTCCGCTGTTATATATTTACACAAAACATGTTAACATCCTGTGGGAGGGAAGGGGTGTGGGAGTATGTGTGAGGAGGCTCAGGGCAGGAGAATAGGTGTGTGTGGGGGAGATGCAGGAGTCAGGGCAGGGGACTGGGGGGGGGGCTA